GCGTTGCATGTGTCACTGCCCGCCTGATGGGGTTGGTCTCCCCCCCCCCCCCTCCCCCCTGGCCCGTGCCAATCGCTCACCCTCGGCTCCCGGTCCCCCCCCCCCCCCCCTCTCCCCCTCCCAGATTGGCCTCGTGGCTTTCTTCGTTTTGCAAACCTTTCAGCCGGAGTCGCTCCTGGCGCGGGCCCTGCGCGGGGCACTGGTGCTGCCCTCCTTCGCGGAGTTCTGCGAGGATCTGATCGAGTGCCTGGAGTCCGTCCGCCACGACACATATGGCCAAGTGGCGTCCTACATCCCGGCCCTGGCACAGGCGGATCCCGACAAGCTGGCCTTTGCCATTTGCAGTGTCGATGGCCAGCGCTTTGCCTATGGCGATTACCAGAATGTCTTTTCCATGCAATCCACCTGCAAGCCCTTCGCCTATTGCCTGGCGGCCCAGGAGAACGGTCTCGAGGCGGTGCACCGGCACATCGGCCGGGAGCCGAGCGGCGCGCGGTTCAATGCCTTCGCTCTCAATCGTCACGGTCTGCCGCACAACCCGATGATCAATGCCGGGGCCATCACGGCCCATTCGTTGATCCGGTCGAACTGGCGCTCCTCCAGGCGCATCCACTACATCATCGACACTTTCCAGTGCGCCCCCCCCCCACCCCCCCCCTCCTCGCCGCCCATTTCCGTCACGGTGTTTCTGTTTCCCATCCCCCCCCTCCCCCCCCCCTCTCTCCCCCCCCTCTCTCCCACGCGCCCCCGCCCCCCCCCCCCCCCCCCCCCCCCCCCCCCCCCCCCCCCCCCTTGCTGACCGTGCGCCGGCTCCTCCGGCCCTTTAACCCCACCCGTGGTTGGGCTCCCCCCCCCTCAACCCGCCCGGTTTCCCGGCCGGACCCCGGGCGGCTGGTGCGAAATTGGCCCCCCCCCCCCTTCAGGTTTCCCCCGGGGCCCCCCTTCTGGGGTTTGGCGGTTTTTCCCTTTGGCGACAGTCCCCGTTCCCCCCCCCCCCCCCTCCCCCCCTCTGCCTTTTTGTCGC